CCCCCACCCCCAAAAAAACCCAACTTCTTTAAACCCAGAGCCCTTTAAGATGATAAAGGACCCTGTGCAGGTAATTGTGTGTCTTTGGAATCCTGTAATTGTAGAATGCAAAGTTTAGTGATTATTTAAACTGGGCCAAGGCTGGTAGGAGTATGGAGCAATGGCTCATAAGGACTCTTAAGCTCTGAAGCCAAGGAGCCACCTCCCTTCCCTGGCCTGCCCAGCCCAGGGGACCTGCCCCCATTCCTGTGGCCCAGGGACCCAGCTTCCATTCGGCAGTGTCAGAAGTGACTTGTGGCTTTGCCATGCTTGTGAGATGACTACATTCCAAAGGAGCAGCTACCGGGAGGGGGTAGGCTCTGCAGTCCCTTGGAGGGCTCAGAGCAGCTGGCCCAAGCTCCAGCTCGCCTCCAACGGAAGCTCAAGCGCCCTCAGAAACGACCCTGGCCAATGTCACCGCAGAGCCGAGGCGGTGTTGTCAGGGCTAATGTGAAATCTCTTCCCGTGGCGCCGATCCTCCGGCTCTGCAGCGCCAGCTTGGACAGATTGAGGTCTCTGTGGCTTTGGTGACCCTGCTTAAGCATTCCCACCGTGTCCCAGCTCGGCTCTCTGCCTGCCTCCCTCTGCAGCCCCCCTCACCTGACCTCAGGGCCTGGGGAGGGGACCAGTGCCCGAGGGCAAGGGGCTTTTGCTCCAGAGAAGTGTCAGGCTTCCTGGGGGCATCAGGCTTTGAGCTCTACTGGGGTCCTGCATACCTGGGACCAGGTTTCGCTAGGAGATTGTGCCTCATATTGTGTCTCAGTGAGGGCTAGGGAACAATTCTGTTATTGTATTAACTTAACTCAGTTAACTCACTTGAGAAACTAACCAATTTTTACTTTCTGTCTAGAATGATGTACATGTAGGAGAGTGAGCTGTAAAGCTCCCAAAGTGCCTTGTTTTCTCTGATATAAATATATTTATAAGGACCTATTCCAGTGGATTCTTGGGTATGTTTGCCACATCGATTTTTAGGGAGTGGGCCTATAACATTGTAGGGAAATGGTCTGGAAATGGGTCCCTTTCCCCTGAGGGTGGGAAAGGAGATTCAGTTAGAGATCTGTGAGGGTGAGGTTAAACCAAACCCCTGAGGTGACCCTTTCCTCTTCGCTGTACTCCTCCTCTTAGGCCCTTAGGAGGATGTCCTGTTTTTTTTTAAAGCCCCGTGGCTCCAAGCCTGGCCTCATTTGTTTCCCTGCCAGGCTCATGTGTGGACCACATTAGCACCCCCATGACCTGAGGATTCCATGTAACAATTTTATATATACATGCGAATATGTAAATGCCGACATTTTAAATAATTTGATAAAGTCTTTGTAGCTACTCAGCCACCTTTGGTGTGTGTGCGTGTGTCTGTCTATGTGCACGTCTCTCTGTTTCTAATGGGAAAAGTGATTGGAAGGGGACAACATTGAATGCCACAGGTGGTGACCAGAGCTCTGGAGGGAAGTCTAGTGTGGGTGGGCTCCAGGAGCAGGAGGCCTCTGGTTCTGGATGGTATACCCTGTGTGGGAGGTGGAGATGAAGGGCGGAAACCATTCTGGTTTAGAAGGAGACCAGGTGGGGGGACCCAGAAGGCCGGATCCCCAGGCCCTCCTAGCTGGCTGCGGTGGGTGTGTGGGGCCAGGGGGGGAGACCGGCTGTTGGCCATTTCATCAGGCAGGAGAAGAGCACCGGCCGAATGCTGATGCTGCTTCCCAACATCTGGCCGGCATCTTG